CCCCCCCCCCCCCCCCCCCCCCCCGCCGGCCCCCCCCCCCCCCCCCCCCCCCCCCCCCGCCCCCCCCCCCCACCTGCCCCCCCCCCCCCCCCCCCCGGGGGGCACACCACCACACTGACAACCCAAAGGCCTGGAGGGCTCAGAAACACCCCTCCGCAAATATGGGCCCGTATAAAAAAGGGAGGGATACTTGGCCGGTTGGGAGCCCACCGGCTCCACGACGATCAGCGAGTCACACCCCCCCCCCACCCCACCGGCCGGGGTCCAGGCGAACACACACACACACACACACACACACACACACACACGATGCGCACCTGGACAGCTGCTCGTTGGAAGGGAAAGGAAAAGAAACCATGGCACCGTCTAGCCCTTCACTGACTCTGATGCCTGGCCTCTCCGTTCCGTCCTCGGGAAAACATGCACACACACACACGCGCGCGCGCTCGATGTCAATCCTTCCATTGCGTCGCTTAGATCATCCTCCCTCGGTGCCTGCACCGCTTTTACACGGATTTCTGCTCGCACACGACCGACTTCTTCCCCTGGCTCAGCAGCTACCTGCCGGCGGACTCGCACATCATCCGAGACATTTCCATCATTGCCTCGAGTGCCGAGTTCGACTTGACCTTTGGCGATTCGCGCTGGGACCCGGCCCCGACGATTCCCCTGCACTCGGATGTCCTGGCCACCCTCAGCAGCACGCAGGACCACGCCCCGCCGGCCGAGCTGCTCATGTACCCGTCGGCGGTCAATCTGCCGGCGCTGGTGACTGAGCCATCCGCCGCCGACGCCGCCGCCGCCGCCGCCGCCGCCTCGCCTCCCGAGGAGCTGGTCGTCACGGCGGCCCCGTCGCCGGTCTTGGTGCCGGATTCTCCCCCAGCCCCTGCGATTGACACCCCTCCATCTTCGGATGCGCTGGCTCCCGAGGCCGTGGCCGATGCCGCGCCCGATGCCGACTCCTTCCTCCGGTCGCTGGAGGCTTCGGGCGGCAGCGGCGGCGGCGGCAGCGGCGAGGCCCTGCAGTTGCCACCGCCGTCGCCCGTGTCCTGGGAGACCGAGCACGCCCGAGTCAAGAACTTTGCCCGGCCGGTTGCCTCACTTTCCGCGCAGGAGCTCAGCATCAACCCCAAGTCCAAGGTCGACTCGCTGGTGGGCATTGTGAACGCGGAGTTTGCCTGGATCGGGCCGAGCCGCGATCCGGCCCAGGTGGTTGAGGATTTGCTGAACCTGACCATGCAGGTGTGTTTGCCAGCTCGCGCGCGCACCATCGCGCGCGGCCCCCTTGCCGCGTGGGCCCGACGTCTGCCCTCGGGCCTGGCCTGCTTTCTGACACGCCCGCCTGCCTTTCGATCCCCTCCCCCCTCCCCCCGGGCCGAAATAATCCCTCCAGCTCTGTCGCCTGCATCTCTTCGAATGGGGCTCCATCTCGCGGTCAGTGCGCTTTGTCCAGATCCTTACCCCCGCTCTGTCGGAACTCCGCACAGTGGACCTGAACATGCTGGATCGGGCTCCGGGGGAGCTGATCGCCGAGCGCCAGACCGCCTTCTGGATCAACCTGCACAATCTGCTCATGCTCTATCTTCACATCATTCTGGTGCGTGCTGCGCGCGGGGCCTTTGTGTGCCCATCGCCTCGTGCTTTTGCCGCCCGGTGGCCGGTCGTCCTCACCCAGTCACTGACATGCGCCTTGTGCCCTCCTCCCTCCATGCAGCGCCCCCCTGGTCGGATGTTCTCCATCGCTCGGCGCCGCTTCCTGGTGGACTACTCGATCCTGGTGGGCGACCAGGCCGGGCCGCAAAAGATGTTCGGCCAGTTCTCCCTGACCGACATCAAGCAGGGGATCCTTCGTGGTACGCCGGGCTGCGGGCCTCCTGTGTCGCTCCTCCCCCTAGCCCCGCACCTCCGCCGCTCGCGACTTGCAGCTTCACACACACACACACAGGCTCGCACACTCACTCACACACACACACACATGCAGTCGAGGCCTTCGAGAAGCCGTACTTCAAGAAGAAGGACCTCCGCGCACCGCTGGCCATCTCCGGCACTGGGAATCCCAAGGTGGCCTTCACCCTGTCCGGGCTGACGGACACCACGCCGGCGGTGCGCCTCATCCGGCCATATGCCCTGGAGGCACAACTGGACGCGGCGGTGGTCTCCTACTTCAACCGGGTGGCCAAGCTCCACCCCTTGACGACGGTGTCGCCGCAGGGGGCGCAGTTCCGGCTGGACCTGCCGAACTACCCCTGCAAGCTGGATACCATGGCCCGGGTGTCGGCCACGGCGGCCACACCGCAGACCCTCGGCCGTGGGCGGTCCTTCACCGCCTCGCGCCTGGACAACAACAAATCCTGGCGCAAGGTGGCCCTTTGCCTGTGGACGAGCAGTCACATGCCCGGCCTGGCGGAGCTGCTGGTGGCTCGTGGCGACTCTTCGGTCGAGCTGAACTTCGTCGATGACAGCTGGTCTGTCTGGCCGATTTTCGAGTGACCAGCACCATGGCCATTGTCTCTTGTTTCCCCTGCTGTGCCCGGCCGGCTTTCCCCCCCCCCCCCCCCCCCCCCCCCCC